TTGAATTTGTAGTATTCTCTCTAACAGACTTAGAAAAAGAATAATGAGTTACAATTCTCTCAATACAATTTCTCTCTAACAAACTTAGAAAAAATTGTATTCCTGATTTACAAAAGAGAGAAAGATTGACGAAGGCCCTTCCCTTTGTTTAACCCAGGTTCTTCTTGGTGTCGATGAAATGTCTTCTTCGAATGCTTGCGTCGAGTTTGCTTTCCATTGACGATTCGAACGCTTCACCTCGTGGAATGTTATCTTCACCTTTTAACTCAAAGTCTTGGATTGTGTGGTAAGTTTGAAACTCTTAACGAGTTAGGGAACTCTGAGCGAGTTTAAACTCGATAAAAGAGTTGATTAATTTAACCAAAAATCGGTTTCAAGCTAAGAACAATCTCCTTGTTGCTGCATATGAAGATGCCCTCGATTGAAGAATGATGAATACCGATCTTCTCCTCCAAAAATGTCTTTAGATCTCCAAGAATTCCGATCCAGAAAAAGAGATCTTGAACTCAGTTGAGTTTCTAGTATTTATAGGAGATTAAGGGGTGTAACCGCCCCCCTTAATTCGCTCCTAAGTGGGAGAGTGATCCCCTCAAATCGTGAAAAACGATTTTGAAACCGTTCAGCTCGTGTTTGCATGAGTCAAACATAAAATCCGCGTTCTGTCACGAACTCTGCGTTCTGGACCTAGGATACAGAGTTGGCTCTGCATTTGAGCCTGAAAACGCAACAATGAGCTCTGTGTTTTGATTCTGAAACGCAGCCATAAACTTTGTGTTTTGAGTCTGGAACACGGTCACGAAGTCTGCATTTTGAGTCTGGAACATAGTGATGAACCCTGCTTTTTGGGTTGAAAACACAACAATGAGCTCTGCGTTTGGATCTGGAACTCAGCGATGAACCCTGCGTTTTGGGCTAAAAATGCAACAATGAGCTCTGCATTTGGATCAGAAGAGATCGTTGACTTGTAATCTCTTTTGTCAGATCATCGCGAAGATCATCATTTTATAATCTTCGCTCTAGCTTCTTGAAATGTGGGAATCGTCAGATTGTAATTCCCGCTGTGAAGGTTGTTGATCATATCTTTCATCGGTTGTTGTGAAGGTTGTCAGATTATAACCTTCATCGATCTACGTAAAAATTTTTAAATTGTAACCTTCTGAAAGTCGTCAAATAACTTTTATCATCGGTGTTTGATGAAGATCAGTTATTTGTAGTAATTTTTAGACAGCCTATACCTTATGGCGAAATCTCGTGATTACCATGGAGCCTAGGTGGCGATGGAAACTTCTTATTCCGATGTTTGAATATAGGGGATTGTCCAACTAAAGTAATAAGAGGCCCCATGGTGGGCGCCAAAATGTTGATGTCCTGAGAATCAGCAGCGAGATTAGCAGATAATCCCGAGTAAATGATGGGGCTTAGAGTGAATATGGATGACATAGATCCCCTTATTTCCTCATATGGTTGATCCCCTATTTAGAATAAAAGAGCTGCAAAATAAGCACGTTAGAGGACTCAAAGTTAGGTTCTCTAGTGATTCCTCCAACGATCAAGTCAGTATAGATCTTGAGTGGGGAACCAATAAACTAAATAAGTTCTGAATATGTCGTGTAACTTAGCTAAAAATAGCGTACATGTGTCCCTATCGGGGTCTACGGAGGGCCTCCTATCAAGTGGGTGATGAGTCATGAGGACTCGTGGTAAGAGCAATGATGATAATAGACAGTTGTTGGCAATGAGTTTCGAGGTCTAACCGCCTCTTGACTCAGCTCTGCGAGCTAGACGACATGTATCATTTTTTTAGTCGGCCTCACAAGTTGTCGACCAGGCCCTGAGTGAATGGGAGGACAACACAAGTGATAAGGTTGCGTGAGAACTCGTCTTGACTCGGCTCTCCTAGAGAAGGGACGAGTGCCCATGCTACCTGAATCATCCCTGGCGGATGTGAGCTGAGCTAACAATCAATGCTAATACGGGACACGTGTTGACTCCAAGAGGAGGATTAACAATTAGGTTACATGATGACATAACACACCTTATAAAAGCAACTTATATAAGCTGCTGAAATAGTTGTTTGGTAATCAAATATCAAAGATTGCTTAAAAATAATTAAGATATTTGTTAGAAGTGTGCTTAATGATCATTGTTTAAAGATAAAATATATACATTGCATATAGACTAAAAAATAAAAGCTAATTTTAAAAGTATTCCCAAACCGCTTACCAAACTGTGCTTAAAAACAGAAGCAGTTTCAATAAACATGCTAAAAAAATTTAACAAACACCATTATCGGTTGCTTTTAAAAAAAATAAGGAGAAGCACCCTAAAAAAAGTAATACCAAACTGGGAATGTGATTGTTGTTCATTTTCAGTGCAAGCGTAACATGAACTCTGAGAATTTAAGTAGTCGTATCAATTTCGGGACCTCTTTATATCACTATGTTTCCATAATTCTTTTCTATTTTCTTTGTTCTTTCTTTCGTTGATCTATCCTCCTCGACTTTAGGGGCTATTTCGTTCGCACATTGTAAAAGCATGAAATTAATTTTCATATTTGCCACATTTTGGAAATCTCAAGCCAAAAAAGACTTTACATTTTCTATGTTTGGTAGATATGATAATTTATGTAAAAAAGGTTTTGAAAATGTTCGGTCACGTTATTTTTTCATGAAACTCATTTCCGCCTCAAAATGTCCGAAATGGGTTTCACAAGCCATCCACCCACCCACACCTCGCCAACAACTCATGACAATTATCGGAAGCCATCACCCCCTCCACACCCCCCACACCCCACCCCACCCTCTAAGTTTTAAAATATCATAATGTTGGGGAATTTCAGTCTCCCCGCCTATCATGATATGCGCAACTCGGAAGCCAACCTCAATCAATAAGATAGAACAACCACAATCAAGAAAAAAGAACACCGAGATTTACGTGGTTCGATCGACCAACTTCGACCTACGTCCACGGGGCAACAATACGAGAAATTCACTATGTATCAGGGAGAACTACAAGAGGAATCACTCAACTCTCGTCTCTTAATCTATTAACCTCACATACATAATCAACTCTCATATTCTCTCCAAAGCACACTCCTTGTAATCTTTTGCACGGATAAAGACTACGAAACCCTCTCTCTCTCTCTCATCTACTACATCTTTACTTTTTCTTCATTGTTTTTCCTCCACCAATAGAAGAATATATATAGGGAAACCAAAAACCCTATCTCTAGCCTAACTTCCTAATTAGAATAGGATTCAAACTCCTAATCATGATAAAACCCAAACTCCAAATCATGATAGAACTCAAACTCCTAATCATGATAGAACTCTAACCCTATCTAATTCTCATGAAGTTACACAAAGAATCAAAGATAAAATCCCAACAATCTCCACCTTGGATTTGATTCATAAACTCCGTTGAAGATATATCGTCATCGTCTTGAAACTTTGTCTCTCCCGCTAGAGTCTTCTATTTCTTTCGCACTTCAAATCAGAACACCTGCACTCTCAATTGGATGCCTTCATGATCCTCATTATCTTCTGCTTCGCCGTGACGCCTCCACCTCTCTTGTTGTCCTTGTGCTCCACCTGCATCGCTCGTCTCAAATCATATCGGTGCACCTCTCCGACTCCACACTACAAGCTGGATGTCTTTATCTCCTCCATCACTTGGCTTGGACTGAATATGAGCGCTCACCATCTTCAAGTCTAACGTCACCATCTTCATCTTCATGTGTGCCACTCGGTCGTGCCCGCTTGCAAGCTCCACCTAATCTGGCACTGTCCTCCTCAAGTATACACACCAACTAACTCCTACTCCTTATCGTAGAGTTTGAATTTGATTAAACCGATGCTAAAAACAAATTCAGTACTTCGAAAAACCCTAGGAACAACTCCTGGATCACCAAAATCCGTCTCCAAATCCTCAATCGGCTAACAAATCAATCTGGACCGTCGGATCCCCACGTGAACAGTGCCCGCCGCTCTATAGTGTTCTGCTACAGTACCGCTGCTACAGTATTTCCCCCCTTTTTTCGTCTTGCTTCTTGTAACGTCGATTTTCAATCTTGCACGACGTCGTCTTCTATCTTGTGAACTCGCTCCCGGATCCATCATCATCGCTCTGATACCACTTGTTGGGGAATTTCAGTCTCCCCGCCTATCACGATATGCGCAACTCGGAAGCCAACCCCAATCAATACGATAGAACAACCACAATCAAGAAAAAAGAACATCGTGATTTACGTGGTTCGGTCGACCAACTTCGACCTACGTCCACAGGGCAACAATACGAGAAATTCACTATGTATCAGGGAGAACTACAAGAGGAACCACTCAACTCTCATCTCTCAATCTCTCAACCTCACATACATAATCAACTCTCATATTCTCTCCAAAGCCCACTCCTTGTAATCTTTTGCACGGATAAAGACTATGAAACCCTCTCTCTCTCTCTCATCTACTACATCTCTACTTTTTCTTCATTGTTTTTCCTCCATCAATAGAAGAATATATATAGGAAAACCAAAAACCCTATCTCTAGTCTAACTTCCTAATTAGAATAGTATTCAAACTCATAATCATGATAAAACCCACTCCTAATCATGATAGAACTCAAACTCATAATCATGATAGAACCCAAACTCTTAATCATGATAGAACTCTAACCCTATCTAATTCTCAAGAAGTTACACAAAGAATCAAAGATAAAATCCCAACACATAAAACCCCACTTAAGTTTAGAGGTTATCAGAAAACCCCTTTAAATTTAGATTTTATCAAAAAATCCCACAATTTTAGGGGTTCTTTTGATAAAATCTCAA